TTCAATATTCAACAGTCAATTGTTTGACTATAGTAGTAGGAAGTCTAGTTTTTACTCTTATATGTGGTATTCATTCTTGTTTGACTCTTGGATTGAGATCTACAGACTCTCGAAAAACTAGTTTCTTCTTTTTTACCACATTGCCTACTTTATTACCTTTCTCAAAGTCGCCCCCCGAAATCCAAATAGTACACACGTTGAAATAGAACATACTTATGTTCTATTCGAATAGTGCACATGTATGTTCTATTCAAGTAGAACAGGCATGTGTTCTATTTAAATAGAACACACGGGTGCAGGTTCTCTCTCTCTCTCTCTCTCTCTCTCTCTCTCTCTCTCTCTCTCTCTCTCTCTCTGTGAACCGCCCTATCACTCCTGCCGGCTCGTTCCCTCCCAATCGCTGCCGCCCGGCTTGTAGACGGTCTGTTGTGTTTTTTCCTTTTTTTTCCTTTTTTTGCTTTTCACATTTGGACTATTTATTGATTTACGTGTGTAATCCTTGCACATAGGCCATGCAAAACCCGAAGCACAAGTACGGATACAGGGGTACTAATCCTTTGGGGCCCCCGTTTTCCGAAAGTTGGTACCCTGTATACGTAGCATAGCGCACATGCGAGCGCACATGTGAGCGCACATGCGTTCATTTCGTAATTAGCGAACGTGCGTTTTGTCTGGGGGAAGACTGTAGCATCCCCGGATATTACTGTCTTCACCCATTATAGCTAATATTCAGGGCAACTTCCGAGTCTAGATTCCGCAATACTGCCCGTACGTTGTCCTCGAGCGAAGGCAGTAGTCCAGGCAAGGGGTTGCATTTGCAGCCAGATTTATCGCCATCCAATCCCCAGGAATTGTTCAGGTCCACGGCCCTCCTACTCCTTTGGCCCTTCCTTTCGTGGGGTCGGAACAGAACAATCCATTCTTCACATTTTTTTGCCAGAAATGGCACCGATTTGACTTGGTACCGGCTCGACCTAGTGCCCCACATTGTATGCAGCGGCACATCCCTCTTTACACAGGTCCACTCATTCCTCAGGATGAACAGGGCGTCATGGCCGCTTATACTTTATGCCGGGCGCCGTGACTGCTTAAACTTTATGCCGGCATGGTGCCTGTTTAAACTTCAGCGCGGATGGGTGGCTGTTCGAACCTTACTGCAAGCGTGGTGGCTTTTAGACCTCACTGTGGGCTTCGCTCCACTACACAACACTGCACATCCATTTGGACGCTTTAGGGACCAGGTGCATTCGAACGATTCCTACATTGTGAATGTATGGGGTCAAGAAAGCATCCAAATGCAAGTACAGTGTTGTGTAGTGGAGCGAGCCCCTATGCGTGTGTATCATGGCGGGTGCTTAAATCTCACTCCAGGTGTGGGTGCGCCGTTCAGATCTAGCTGCATGTGTGATGGCACTTTTAACTTTAATCCCTACTTCCGCACATCCCAGGTATAGCGGCCGTTTAATCCACCGGTTTCTTTCTCAACTATTTTGCTCCAACAATGCAGTCAATAACGCACTGCATCCTTTGGAGCTCGGCCTACCAGACCGATATGGGCGGCGGGCGCCTGGCAGAAGAAAGAAAAAAAAAACAAAAAAACAAAAAAAAGGGAACCCCCACCAGTTCGATTTTTGTTGGCGGGGATCTGAAATCCACATCAGTTCGCGAAAAGAGGCTTGGAGGTACTGCCGGCTTAGCCTTTGCTCCGAAGTTGTAGTGGTGTGGTGGATATTTAAACCTACCTTCCCTGCATCCTCTTTCTTTCTTACTTCCACGCGTCCCAAGTGTGAAAGCTGTGGTTTAAACCTACCTTCCCAGGTTACATTTAAACCTACCTCCGCAGGCAAGATTTACACCTAACCTGTCAAAGCAGACACATGTCCTCACTTGTGGATGTTATGCTGTGGCGACTGTCTAAGCCACCAGTACCTACCCGTTGGCCCAGCAGTTAATGCAGAAGCCGAATCCGCCTGCCCCTCCAGTCCAAATTCAATCGAGGATGGGGGGTACGAAAAATGTGGTAGGTACTGATGGTTTAAAGTTTAAACCTAACCTGCCTTCTACACATCGTAACTTCCACAAGTGCTGAGAGTATATGCTTTGACAGGTGAGGACAGTATGTGTCCATTTAAACCTGACTTTACTTCCATGCATCCCAGGTGTAGTGGCTAAATTAATCCCCTACCTTCTACGCATCCTCGCTTCCACAAGTGATGCGGTACTTCTCTGTTAGGATGGGCCTTGCTTGCATGCAGGCATTGCAGGCTGTTCCTCTGATAACATGGCAGACTTCGGGCCACGAAACACTGCAGCATAAGAAGCACAAGAACTACGACTGAACCATGAATGTCATGGCAGAGCATGCATCCATCGATTGATTGGATATCTGCAATTGGCCCAATTGCGCTCACGTCCTCACACTGACAGCATCCACTTCCCCAGAGCTCCTCCTCCTGCAGAGATTCCTCTTCACCTTTGAGACTACTTCCTCTGCCTTTCGATTATCACCCTTGCCTTTGAGATTACTTCCTTGCCTTCCAGGTTACTTCCCTTCCGCGCATCCCAAGTGGGGTGCGATGGCTATTTAGCGCTGGAACAGAGAAGCCTGAACAGACAAGCACTGTCATCGCCCCAGCCTTGACGGGTGCGATGGCTATTTAGCGCTGCTGCCTTCTACATCCTTACTCCCACAAGCGATGACAGTGCTTCTCTGTTCAGGCTGGGGCTTGTGTACAGATGACCCATCGATAACATGCCAGACTTTGGGCCACAGAACCATGAATGTATGTCATGACACAGCATACAACCACCTAGTGATTGGTTATCAGCAATCACCCCCCCCCATACACAGTTTCAGCAAATGTAGTGCTCACTTCCTCACACTGACGGCACCCACTTCCCTAGAGCGGGCTCCTGCAGAGATTCCTCGTCACCCCTTTGAGATTACTTCCCTTGGCCCCCTGCCCCCTCCTTCACCAACAACAAAACTCTTTCTCACCCCACCTGCAGATACACCTCAACAACCTCTTGGGTTCCCTCGCAGTCCACTCGCACCCAACACACACACACACACACACACACACACACACACACACACACACACACATGCAGACAGTGGCCGAGGACCCCGCAACACAACCCGTGGACCTATTCTAAAGGTGTCCACCATTTCTGGAGTGCCAGTCAACAGTTGCTGGTCTGAAGACTCTGAAGAGTCTGAACCCACAGTGGCAGCAACCAGTAAAGCACAGACTGGGGTCTGGGCGAAGGTGCCGTGAGGTGCAGCAGTCAGGATGGACACAGGGAATAATCTACAGGACTGCGACAACCTTGCAACGACTTCTCAATACTTCATTCCTTCTTGTCTGAAAACAGCCAGAGAGAGCACCTTGCAGGTCCGTACCATTTGAATTTTCACCGTTCTCGTTGTCTCGATACTCTGAAATTATTTTCCCCAACTACCAGTCCGCCTCATCAACCCTCAAAAACATCATTCCTGGCACTTGACAGCAACCGGTTAAGTTCAGTCGCATCATCCGCAATCACTCCTTCCATGTGAGCAAGACCTTCCATACCCCCCTGTTGTCAGCTGCATTTTTTTATTTATTTTCTTTAATTCAGACCATTTCTCAATTTATGTGTGTCATCCTTGATTCCGCAGGGGCCATTTGCTAATTTACCATTCTCTGTATCGTTCGGATTTTAACGGATGTCCCGAAAGGACTGTCAGCTGCCTTAAGAACCTTGTCCGACTTGACTTGTGTGGTAGACTTAAAGCACTACCGTCTTCACCCGAATAGAACGCCGCCCGGTCATTATCGCTGCATCTGGACTGAAAGTTGGGCCAAATGCAGCTATAATGACCAGGCGTTCTATTCGGGTGAAGACGGTAGTACCTTTGTCGGTTCGGAAAATAGTGGGCCTCCGACCTTTCAGGAGGCCGAAATGAAACGACGGCCGCCGATCAGATTTATCAACAGCAGACGCTGTCGGGGCCGGCCTCCTAAAAGTTCGGCACTAGGCTAAAACTTGTTGAAACCGAACAGCAAAGGTACTAGTGGTTTAAGTAAATAGTAAATACGTAAAGAGTGCGAAGAAGAAAAAAAATGAATGGAAACCACCACAGTACACATGAAAAGTTGGAACTCACTGAAGTACAACAAATATCATTGAAATATGTCATTTCATTAACGCCACTTTTTTCTGCATGCAAAAGCTTTTCTCTGACTCTTTCTTAGTACAAACAGTAGCACATAATAAAGGAACGTATAAGGAAACCATCAATGAAACTGGAGTAGACGACAATTCAAAAACAAATAATCACCTGAGGGGTTTCTCAATTATGCCTTCTACAGTTCTTTCTGCTAAAATTTCATACAACCAACTTGAAGTAGGCATGTACCTCATCACTTTCAACTATGGTATAGCTGAATCCAAAGCCCAGATATGACGCCTGCCAAATTGAATCGGCCCTGCTAAGCGCACGCACGAAGGGCCCCCCATCTCCCCCTCCTCCTGCCTAATGCCAGGTTTCTGTCCTTCGCTTCTCCAGCAATTAACCAAAGGGGGGTGCTTTACACAGGTAGGAACGGACTTCCCTCTGCCCTAAATATGCGTCCATCTTTTCAGACGATTCCATTCACTTCTCTCACGCACGCACACTGTGCACGAGGTCCACCAAATTCAGAAACGTATGATTTACTCATGGTCACTTCAAAGAAACTTCCTGGGGGGCTTCCCCTGCGCCTCTGCCATCTTGCTCTGCACCGACACCAGAGGTCACACAATATACATATAGCTCGCGTCAGAAATAGAAATGGAAAGAAAGATTATGTGCAAGTAAGACGACAACTCAGGAGAAGCGGTTAATGGAAGGCCCAAAATTCACACTAGCGGTAAATGGAGGGCCCAAAATTCACACTAGCGGTTAATGGAAGGCCCAAAATTCAGGGGGGTTCGGCACACCACTACAAGCAATAATGTCGAAACTTTTGCAAACAAAGTATGCAGAGTCATAATACAAACATCAAAAAAACAAACTGGCCAAAAAAAAAAAAACACTCAAGAGCACTATAAATTTAGTACAAATTTATAAAACCCTATTCAGAGTAGCTTTCGGAGTTCGCCGAATCTTTCAAGTCCGGTGTTTTTGCCAACTTTTTCGTTACAGGTCCACATACGGCGAAACTGAATACAGATGTACCCTAAAGCACATACATATCAGACAGTCTGATATTTATGTGCTTTAGGGTATATCCATATCCAGTTTGATTTTTTTTATGTTTGCATTATGACCCTGCATACTTGGTTAGCAAAAGTTTCGGCACCATTGCTTGTAGTGATGCGGCGAAAAACCCCGAATTTGGGGCCTTCCATTAACCGCTAGTGCGGGGAAGTAGTGGCTAGATGATGCGGTGATCGGCGAGTCAGAAATTCCTGACGAGTTGACTGTAGTTTTGCAAGACTGTGGTTTCAGTCAAGCTACGGCTCCGTCAACACTTTTAGTTCTCTGCTTCTCTCCCTCTCTCTCTCTCTCTTCCTCTCCGTGTTTTTCTTCATGGATGATAGAACTGCCTGACAACTTCCTTGCCCCTACCAACTTCTGAGATCTCGCCCCGCTCGTCTATGACACGTGTTTATGATGATGATTGATGCATGCGCGAGCTTTTGCCCCTACTAGTCTTTGATACTCACAATTCGCCAGGCGAACTCATTGGAGCACAGAAACAAGTCAGGAGAGAAGCGTTTCCCTACATACATAGGCTGAACTGTTGTTTTGATAACAGGGACAAATTAAGATTTTGATGCGTTTTGATTTTTCATGCATGATTCATTCTAGTTTCTCACTCTCCCAAACGAATGCTAGCTAATTGCTTTTCTCTTTGATTGGATCGAATGACGGATTGCATGAAATCATGTCTCTAGTTAGCGTATGCCATATGGAATGATCAGGCGGACCCGACTGGGCACCGATTTCCCATACTTCCGCAGCGCCCATTCCCGTATAATGAGGAAAGGCCACGTGTATGCGAGTGGGACGTACAAGAAGCCGTCGCAAAGATCGGAGGGCGTTATTATTTCCCTCCTCAAACAAGGTGTTCAGGATAAAGTAGGCGCTGGCTTTGTCATCGTTGATACTCATTTTCCGCCTAATTCCTTATTGTTGCCTTTTAACGAATTGATTGTCATCCCGTGACCGGCAGTGGCACCCCATTGGCCCAACACTCTCTGCAGCGATTGTTGCCGCACCAGGCGTTATCGGGAAAGGGGGTTCCACTACCAGACACGTGGCGAGGACGAGTTTAAGGAAAGAGCAACCAGGCTGCGGCCTTCCAAGTTGGATTCCAAGCTCTGCAGTGAGTGGCGGGCTTGATTCGAAAATGAGATCCCACGTGCGTACCCCCGCCTTTTCGTTCGAAAAGACGTCGAGTAGCCCGCACGGAAGTTCAGAGATACTTTTTGGATTAGATGAACGTTTGGAAGTCACGCACGCCTGTTTCCTTCCCGCACGGCGATGTCCATTTCTCACTAAACACTGGGACCACACGGGAGATTTCAGTTCTGTCTGTGTGCCCACACTCGATTTCCCAAAAATCCTTGGCACACCCCATTTTGCTCTCCTTCCAGGGCCTTTTTCCGCATTTTAATCTCTCCAACCGGAAGACGGCACAGGGCATGAGGTTGAACATCAGTGGCTGGGCACCGTGCATCGAACTCCCCAGGCCCACCGAAAGTCTCGCATGGCACTCTCTATTGTCCCAAATCTTCCCTCACCGAGAGGAGATCAGAGGTACCGGGCAGCTTGGTGGGCCACCAAGCAGATTTGCCAGTAGCCACGACAATAATGGCCAGATGCCACTACGGCAGTGGCTGCACACTGTTCACCAAACTTCCCAGGTCCACAGAAAATCTCCGTCCGGCCCCCATACCCTGCTATTCACTGCTCGACCCCAACTAGGACATGGTAAGGGGGTTCACGAGGAGATGCCCAAGCAAAAAAGCGCCTTCCAAGTGACAGGCCAACGAGGGGCCAAGACGAAGGGGAGAGGATGCTAGGCTACAAGAAACCAGCGAGTGCCATCATCAAGAAAGCGGCATCCAAAAAAAACACAAAAAAAACTCAGTTCCCCAACAGAATTGCGCTTTGTATGCCTGCGTTTCCGCACCTTCCGGTGACCAGGCGCTTCTCTTTTCGTCAATTTCAAAGAGTTTCGATTCAGCGATGTGGTTGACTATGTGTCTGTGTGTGTTCAAGGGTACTCTGCTCTTGAGTGCCTTCACGGATGAATGCACAGGATCGCTGCAGTTCTCTGCACCGACCCCACTGTCAGACTTCAGTTCTGCGACACAATTTGTCTGCACTAAAGTGGTAACAACTAGGAGAATTAAAATTAAATTAATATATTATAATTTATAACCACTGGATCTTCCCGTGCTGTGCATTAAATCCACCAGTATGAGGCCCCCTGCTCCAAGACTTCGAGCGGTATACCAGGAGGCCGCCCTTTCAATGTGCCAGTTCGATTCGCTCGCGGCGCTCGGAGAGAATAGGCTGGGCAATTTAGGATCCACCCTACTCTCACATGTTAACTTCACCTCATTCCCCATTAGGCAAAATGCGATGAGGCAGTCGCTGTGCCTCCCCTCCAATGATGATATCTCAACGCCGTCCCCTTTTGAAAAAAATAATAATAAAATAAAAAAATGTGGCATTCCGGGTTCTGTGGATGACCACCGCTACCAATCAAAATGGCTGGTGCCACCAGCCAAGAAAAAGAACATGCCTTCGTGGTGCTTTGCTTTTTTTTTATTTGTTCTTATCGCAGGGGGGATCGCCCTTGGCAAAGAGAGGAGGATTGGTGTACTTCGGGACATCCATTAAACGGATTGGAACGATACAGAGGAAGAAGATTAGCATGGCCGCTGCGCAAGGATGACATGCATAAATCGAGAAATCTCCAAAAAAAAAAAAAAGGGGGACTCGGAGGTACTGCTAGTTTTAAGTTGCAGAATGGTAATACTACAATGACACAAAAAAAAAGCCTAAAAGGCCATCCTGTCCAGATTCGACAGGTAATTGAATTGGTTGGGCTTAAAAGAATTAGCTTTAATAAATAAAAATAAAAAACGTTGCATAATGTTCATCAGGACTTTTACACTATTCTTGCAGACGCATTGTGACCGTGTTGGAATGTGACGATAGCGGATAAGATATCCGGCCACTGAAAATCACCGTTGTTGCTGTTGGTACACTTGTATATCAGAGGCGACAGCTGAGGTTGTCTAGCTGGATGAGCTCTTTCGAACACGTAAAAATATACCGTAGTGAAATCAGGATGCGGAGAAAGCTGAGAGGATTAAGAATTTAAGATAAAAAAATATATAAGGAGTGCCTTGGCTGTTCCCTTAATCTGTACTCAATCACCCCACGGCATTACGGTTCTCACGAATAAGCTCCCAGACGAAACTCTGGCGATACCGTTCTTCCCATCAGCCGGCCCCCCGGGGGACGTCCAACAGACGGGGTGGGCGGCTGAAATGGTGCTGAGAGGATATGCTTCATGCTCGATTTTATCAAAGCCAAAAAAGGGCAGGCATATGCACACAAGTCCTAACGAAGACGTGTATATCACACACATCTCCTTTTTGGCACTACAGGCCGACGCCTTCGCCAGAGCGCAATTGCGTAAATTGGAAATACATTGGCTGCCCTTAGCTCATCTGTTAGACGTGGGGATTGATACTCTCTGTGATATAGCCATCATGGAAGAAATCTTGGCGCTTACAGTAGCGAAGTGGCTGGCACAATCCGGGGCCGCAGACTATCTGACTTCCCCTACCTTCGCAGCGAACCTGGAAAAAAAGCAAATGCTCCCCAGTCCTAGCCCGTATGGGCTGCAGCATACCACAGGACAGGTATTGGGGAAGGATCCAAAGAAGCAGGTATCATCCTGCATCCACGTAACACGCGGCAAGGACCCAATTAATGGTCCTGCCAAGAAGGATTAGACTGGCCACGTGGAATGTTCGTGGATTAGGGGACACTGCTAAGAAGTTTAAAAAGTCGAGATTACGCTCCTGGGTTCATAAACACCAAGTACACTTCCTGTGTTTACAGGAAACGAAGTTAAACGATCCCACATTGTCCAACATCACGAAGTGGTGGAATGGGCCCCAGTTCTGGGCTCCTGCCCAGGGATAAAAGGGCGGGGTGGCGATTTTAGTAAACCAAGATCTGGAAATTGATATTATAGACCAATACTCGGACCCGGAAGGGAGATGGCTATGGATAAAATTCAAAATTGAGACCGAGACGTGGGCGATTCTGACTGTGTATGCCCCGGTAGACCTTGTTGAAAGGACTACCTTTTTTGCCTCCCTGCCAGGCTGGATACCGGACACAAAAAACCTGGTTCTAGCCGGCGATTGGAACACGGTTTTTAACCCCGGTTTAGACTCACTGAAAATCCACCAGGTCAGGCCGGACACCATGGTTCTTTCAGAATTTATGGAATCCCAGAACCTTGTCGATGTTTAAAGGATCCTGAACCCAGAGGAGAATGGTTTCACGTGGTTCGGTCCCAAGCCTAACAAGCGCACCCCCGCACCCAGAAAACGACTGGATTTCTTCCTGGCGAGGGGAATACCGTGGGATAGATGCATGTCATGTGACGTGCAAATAAGATCGCTTTCGGATCACGACCCAGTGACATCGGATATCATTTCCAGGGACTTACTGGAAAGACATCGTCCTCCTTTTCGGTTAAACGTTAACCTTCTTAAAGATGAAGGCATTTCAAAATGGGTTTCTACTCGTATGGAAGACTGGAAAGGGGCGCAGGGTTTATTCAGAGATCCTAATGATTGGGCAGATACTGGTATTGCCATAGTCTGAGAAGCCCTGGTGGAATTCTCAAGGATGAAGGCCGCCACCCGTAATTGGAAAGAACTACCTCTGGAAAGGGCAGTGAAAGACTCAGAGGAGAAAATGGGTAAAGATGCCTTTTCAGATTTCTATTGGTCAGACAAAAGAACGAAAGCATTGGCAGATTTGGAAGCCCTACAGATACAAAGACAAGGGGATTGGCTTGAATTGTTTAAACTCAAAGGTATAATAGGCTACGATAGGATGACTAAACTATCCTTTAGATCCCTGTTGCTTAGGCAGTCCAAGTCTTTAGTGAGAGAGCTTGCTCACCCCTTTGCTATTAATGCCCCGATAGCTAACGATACTATTACTATGTGTGTGTATGCTTTAGAGTATTATAGGGATATCGTTACTACTAGAAGACCCTTTGACCCACCAGTTATGGACTTAGCAGCTTTCTCAGAAGCAGCTTTCTCAGACTTCTGGGAAGCGCCGTATGCAACCATCTCTCAGTCAGCCAAAGTTGAGATGGACCAGCCCATGACCGAGGGGGAATTGCTGACGGCAGCAAAACTCATGGCTAAGGGCAAGTGTCACGGATTGGACGGGCTCCCGGTGGAACTTATACTAGCATCCTGGCAAGCCTTTGGCCCATTCCTATGTGAAATTTATAACAAAGCCTTGTCTTCGGGCTCTTTTCCCTAAAAAATTCACGATGGGTATGATCTCCCTCCTCTATAAAAAAGGGGATAAAAGGGAAGTGCGGCGGAACTGGAGGCCGATCTCGGTCCTCAATGTTTCCTATAAACTATTTGCTAAGACACTAACCCTGCGGTTGGCCAAATTCTTGCCAGATCTAATTGGATGGGAGCAAGGGGCCTTTGTCAAAGGGCGCTCAATATTTGATAACATTTTAGCAACAGTTCAAGTGCTGGAAGTAATTGGGAAGGAGAAGAGAGAGGTCGCAATCCTCCTCCTTGACATGGAGAAGGCGTATGACAAGGTCGGGTGGGGTTTCGTCCATACAACATTAAAAAGTCTGGGTTTTGGTCAAGGGTTTTGTGGATGGGTTAAGGCCAGTTACGCAGATGCCTCCTCAGTCGTAATAGCTAATGGTAGATTGTCTGACAGCTTCCATCTGTCCCGCTCATTGAGGCAGGGCTGTCCATTGCCCCCCCTCCTCTTTGTTCATCAATTGGAGGTGTTATTAAATAACATTTGGAAAACCGAGATAATTAAGGGGCTTCAACTATCTCAATCAACCCAATGGAAAGGGGGAGCTATAGCGGATGACTTAACAATAGCTAGTGAGAATACGGTAGAATCCTTAAAAGAATTGAGTTCGGTAATTGATACCTACTGTACTTGGTCAGAAGCATCCATAAACTGGGACAAGTCGGTCTTTTTCCTCCCCCCTTCCCAAAGCTTGTGTATCAATTGGGGCTTGCGGCAAATTCCGGCTAACTCCTCGGGTCGTTTCTTGGGAATTCAAGTGTTGCTTTCGGACAGTGCAGCGGTACAAGACGACATCCTGGCAGGGAAAGTCTGAGCACGTATCGCAGGATGGCTTCGCAGTCACAAACTGTCACTGTACGGAAGAGCAATGGTCCTCTCATCGGCAGCTTTTTCTATTCTTTGGTTTCCCCTTTCAGTCCACCTGCTGGGGGAATGTGCATATGCACAAATTAGAAGGGTGGCGGCCCGGTATCTGTGGAAACCGGCAGCCCTGGAACACCAAGGCTTTATCCCTAAGGTTGCCTGGGAAGAGGTGAGTGCGGCTAAAGAAATGGGGGGTCTAGGGATTCTGGACCCAGTGCAGCAGAACCTAGCAAATGGATCATTGCGGAAACATGGGGATCACGCTCCAAATGGTGGGTAAGACTTGCAGAACACATTCTGTCAACGGATTGGAATCTGACAAGAGATAGCAATGTCTGGAGATGCCTTTTCATTCCGTCTTTTGCGAAACGTCGTCCTCAGTCAAGACTGTGGAGGAACATCCTCCATGCGCGGGGAACACTCTTCCCCACGGAAAGGTCTCAACCTTCCACGACATATGAAGTTCTCAATCAGTTCATGTTTGAGAATCCTTGGATAGTAAAGGGAGATGGTTCCCAGTACATGGCAGACGGTTCAAGAGGTTCCTTTGGAAGAACCTGGGTAGAGAAAGGGGTTATTCAGATAAAAGATCTACGGGACCAGAGGAGTAGTGGTTGGATTCAGTTGGTCCACCTGCGTAAGCTGCTACCTCGCTGTCAAAACGTGGAGAGACATTACAGTAACTCTGCTCTAAAGAATTCTATACCAATTTCTGGTTGTCTCTTCTGCATAACTCGGAGGAGCCTCAGTCTGGAGTGTGGTTAAAAGACCCCCAAAACTCAGGTTTATTTCTGCGGGTGGATGGGCCGGAAATCCCACATGGGACCAAGGTTCAAGTCTGGAAAGCATATTTAGACAAGAAGAAGCAGACCTGCCTAAAGCATGTAGGTGAAAAGGTGGCGGCTTCTACAGGTGGGTATGAAGAAAGCAGAGTTTGGTCACCAGATCCAGGCTGTAAGGGCAAGACACAGCTACTGTACAAGGAGGCGTCAGAGATTACGGTTGAGCCAACCTTGCTGGGATGGGTAGGGCTAGTTTCTCCTTCCTCTATCGCCCCAATATTCCAGTACAAACCAAGTTGGGGGGTGAAGATTCTCAGAGCAAAAAGCAAGAAACAGCCAATAATTACGGCGACCAGGAGACTGAGTAAACAATCAGGCTTCGAAGTAGGATCTGTGGATTTATTTAAATTGTGGAGAGCTTTTAAGCTTATCCCCTCTCAGAAACAGGCCATCCTACAATGGCTTCAGTCCCTGCTGGCCACTCCATCGGCCAAATGGCTGTCGGAAAAAGGCATGTCAGTCACTGCAGTGCCTCCGATGCCAGTGGGGTTGGGAGACAGCCACTCACATCTGGCTGTACTGCCCAGTTTCTTTTCATGTATGGTCCTGGTAGCAATATCATTGGGAGAATATGACTAATGGAGAATTCCCATGGACTCATGAGTGGATCCTGTTTGGGGCCTCCCCTTCGGACTCAGATTTATCTGAAGGGTGGGGATATATGGCATTAGTATGTAGTAGAGGAGTGATAATGGAAACAATCTGGAAAGGGAGGAACAGTGCAGTCTTTCGAAACGAGACTTTATCATTCCAGGGATTAGTCGACGAAATAAAAAGCCAAATCCGTTTGGCCATGAGAGTAGACTGGAGGGCTTCCAATGCCCAGGCAAAGAAGAATAGGATATGGTTTGCCAAGACGTGGTCTAGAAAAGGAGCCCTGGCCTCTATTTCGTCAAATGGCAATTTGATTTTCTGTACTTGGTTACTGCGAAATGGCACAGATGGTACAGTTCTAGGGCCGCCATAGGTCTAAGAACTGCAAAAGATCTTTTATTGGCCTGGTCGGGTTTGGAATTTTTTCCCGGGGGGGCAGGTCGTCTTAGACCAGGTATCTGCTTGATGTATGTTGACCACTTAGGCCTCGACGTTTTCAGTTCTCTCATCAATGGTACGCTATGAGTAGGAGACATCTTAGGAAGAGCATGTCTACACAGCGTTCTTGCTTTAGCTGTTGATAACTTTCCGGCTTTTCTTTCTTAGTATCCCTTGTTGTTAGGACTTTGCTAGACTTAAGTAGGACTGGATGTTAGATGAGGTAGACAGTTAAAAATTTGGATACAATTTCCTTTTGTGCAGGTTTGTTAATTACGACCAATTGTGTGTGGCTAGTTAAGAAAGTTTTACAAATTTTTCACTTCGATTGGCTGCAGTGGATTTTTTCTCTTTAGTTAGCCTAGATAAAGCTTTGGTATAGCTTGGCATTATGTAGAGGTTGAATTGGCAAGTCCTCAGTCTATTGACTGCAAGCAAAACTGGCTGATGCTGCCAGGATAACTCCGGGTAGAATTGTGAGGTCCCCGGCCTCGAATGTTATTTTGGGAATAAAAATAATAATAATAATAATAATAATAATAATAATAATAATAATAATAATAAAATAAAATAACAGCATTCTACTTCTATTTCATGAACTTTTGGCATGGATTTCTTTTTTTTTTTAGATGTTAATTTTAAAAAACTACAAATTAAAAAAAAAAGAGTGATTACTTCACCGGTAGTGTTTCCCATCTATGTTCACAGCACCACCTCCATATGCTTCTTTCCCCGCATTTGTCCACGACTCCATGTTCTATTTGCGGCCCCCCCTTTCTTCAATGCCCAGTTCAGTACCCCCTTCACAACATGAAAAGGCAATTTGAAAGAACCACCAAACTATCACACATAATCATCCAGTCCATCCATCCATCCATCCATACTTTCAAAAAGACGCAACCAAATCTCACACAAGTATATCCATATCCTGTATTGCTTGACGACGACACAACTTATCAATAAACAACAGCATTTTTTTAACTTTGTTGGATCAAGCTTACCATGTCATTGGTGACGCTTTTGTAAACCAGGGTAGGAACTGCAATGCCCCACAAGAGGAACAACCCCAATGACCGCCGGTTGAACCTGAAGGTCTTCTCCATGTTCTCCCTTGCTGCACCCCAATCCTCGATGAACTTGTTCTTAGCGTACTCCATACCGCCTGCCATAGTTACCCACACACCACCGACCTTGGAGACCCCTCGTTCAAGATCAGGAAACAGACTTTACCAGACAACAACTGTGAGTGCTGCAACGCGACCAGCTGAGAATCCACACACACACACACACACACACACACACACACACACACACACACACACACACACGTGCACGCATGCAAACAGAACATGGGTGTATGCATAGTGGGCAAACACTCAGAAGTTAGCACACATACAAGGCATGCACACGGGCACACAGACACACACAGACACGCACAGACACACAGACACGCACAGACACACACACACACACACACACACACACACACACACACACACACAAAAGCAACGGGTTTCAGATGCAGCACCAGTTTTGATCCGCGGACTATTTGATAGATGGTCTTCGGTGGCTCTCTTTTCTTAGTAAAACTAACATTCATCATCTTATTACACAAAAAATACAAAAATATAGCTTCTTTAATTGGTTTCTTCAAGGACCTTATAGATCTGTTTTTGATCATTCTAATAGCTTGATGATAATAGGTTCACCTGCAATGAGTGGATATCCTTTTTTAAATGTTATTGTTGAAGCTAGTTATATACCTTTTATCTATCTGTCGTGTAAAGATTTATTTTCTCTTTGTTACAAAGAGAATACTTCTATAAATTTATCTTATCAATCATCTGATTCAATGTTTGCTTTGTCAACTAAATGATAAGGATGCTTTTGAGAACTCATACTCATTGCTTCGCTCCTTTGTTTTTTAGTCTAATTTATATTTATATATTTATGAAACGGTATTCACCAGTTCGCAGTAGCTGATGCAGATCCCAGGGCTCGATCCCTAGTCCCCCACCTTACATGTGTACAGTACCTGTGTCGACCCCTAGAGTTGAACCCGTGACCTGTGTATTTGTAACAGTTGGTAGGTTGTCATAGGGTCCATAGGTAACAGGGGTTCGATCTGTAGACCTGTCGGGTAGGAGTCTCAGTCAGGTCTACAAGTCGTAGCTATAGCTTTCTCGAAGAGTCAAGGTCGTAGCTGCTACAGCCCAGAAGGGTCAAGGTCGTAACTGCTACAGGACCGAAAGGCCAAGTCTACGGCCTTCCGGAAGGTCCGAGTAGTGGCCTTTTGGAGTGTCCCACGTTTAGGCTGAGGCAAGTGGGCAAGTGGTGAAGCAAGTGGTGGAGTCTACCCGTGCTGAGTCAGCAGTCCCAGTCCTAGGCAGTTCTGGTCCAGTCAAGCAAGTACCGCATGGGACTGTGTGCACTTCGGGCATGGGAAAGGGCCAGACCAAGGAGCTGCAGAAGTATAAATCAAGAGGCAGCGCCCAGTCATTCATTCATTCCTGCGTGAGCCATGCGGAAGCGCTGCCACAGCGACTTGTGCAAGGAGGTCTGCAGTGAGCCGGAAGACGAAGTGGGCAGAGAGACGAAGCTTAGCCATAGTGATAGGGTAGAGGCGGCCATAGCCGCCATAGCTGTAGTTAGAGTTCGGTGTGTAAGTGTGTGAGAGTGAACAGAGTATCGTGTGTGTGATATCCAGGGTTATCCAGTGTATGCGAACAGAGAGTTGTGTGGGCGCTGTGTCGCCATAGCCAATTGAAGTGAACTCGTGTCTGGGTTGCCATATCTCTTGAACTCTGAGTGGGCGCATACCGCCAGTTTGTAAAGTGTGAGTGAGAGCGAGTCTGATTGCATTTATTAGACACCCAAGAAACATAATCATTGAAAGAGACAGCTTCCACTACACTAGGCATAAAGGCATGATTGGTACCACAATGTTCCTTCACTACATTGACCATAGTAAACTCCTTCTCGTTTGATAAAGATGGAAGTCTGATTTAAAAAACGACCAGGTACGGCATCACATTTGCAGCACCAGTTTTGATCGGCGGACACACTCGAAACATCACCGTACGGTTATTATGGCCTCAAGAAGTCGCCAAGGTCGTTTGTAGTCGCTGTAGGCAAGCGGTGCTTTTTGCCTTACCAGCAATCGGGATCCCAACCGGACCATTCCATGTGGTCACCGTAGGCAAGCGGTTCTTTTTGCCTTACCAGCAATCGGGATCCCAACTGGACCATTCCATGTAGTCACTGTAGGCAAGCGGT